TTCCAGCAGAGCACGAAGCTCCTCCAGCACCAGCGCGTGCACAGCGTGGAGTAGCCTCGCTGCAGGCCGAGCCACACAGGTGCTCAGTAAACAGTGAGCGGCAAAGGCGGGCGGACGCCTCCGGTGCGGCAAGCTTTCTCTGAGCCTTGCTCCTCTGCGGGGCAGCCCAGTGTCCCAGGAGCTTGTGCAACCCTCAGCCCCCAGAGGAGGAGATGTTCTCTGTGAGCATTCACCACTCAGTGCCTGGTCGCCAACCAGGTTCTAGCACAATGACAGCCACAACAGGTATTTCAGCAGAGGTGCTAACTGGACGGCAGGTGACTGGTGGTGAACTGAAAAGGACAGTCAAGCTGTCCTGGAGGTGGAACTTAGCAGGAGGCCCTGAGGAAAGGGCACCACTGAAGAGCTGGCTCTGGAGTCTGAGCAAGCATGGAGGTCCTGTAGGCTTTGTTACTGCTCGGCTGGCCCTAGATTACCCTCAGAGGAAGGTACCCCGTAGGCCTAGGCTGAGATACCTGATGAGGAGGCACTTGTGTGGGTGGTTGAGAATTATGTATGTAAAAAATGTACTGCTCCCCAAAGGACTGCCTTATGCTGCTGCCATGAGGGTGGAGCTTTCCTCCTCTCCTAGCCCCAGTAGCACCTACCCTTCACAGATCCAGGTAAAGGGCACCTGTTTATAGAATCCCTGCCCTGAACAGTGAGGCCCAAGTAGACAAGTCTGGACCCCAGAGACAGGAGCTTAACTGGCAACCCAGCCCTTGTATTCCCTCAATACCAAGGCTACCCCCACCCCTGATCCTGGAAGGGATTAGAACAGTCTCCAGGATTCCTGACTTCCCAAGTCCACCACCTTGACCAAAGCCAATGCTGATAGCTCCAGTAATACCATCTCTCCACTACCAACGCAACTGTCCTATCACCTTCATCTTACCCCCCAGCAGTCAGAGCCAAATTTTCTCCGCACCAGTGGCCCTGTGAGACTTTTCAGCTGGGAATCCAGGTCCCATCCATTTGGGTCCACCAGGACCACATCCAGCTCTCAAGTTTCTGGATGGCCCCTTGCCTGGACTCTGATGCCTTGAACCTGTATACCCACTCCCACCATGACTGTCCTTGGAGTCAATCCCCAGGAAAGTATGTGAACTAGCCCAGTCCCCACCCCAGCTAGCCAGCATCATCAGATGCAGCAGAATTAGTAAACTGGTGGCTGACAAGCTAGATCCTGCCTGAGGATGTTTTTAATACTCAACACCTAGGAGGCCATTTCCTGGGTTAAAGGCTGGAAGGATTTACCTGGAAATTCAGACACTTGGGAGATTTTCTGTTCCCATGTATTTACAATCAGTAGTACTAAGGATGGGGGATCCTGCAGATGAGACCCCAGCTAGTCGGGGGAAGAACAGGCTGCAGGCCCATGACCAGTTCCTCCACCTTGTGATCATTTCCATCACCCACAGTTTTCTCTTCATCCTGGGAAGTCTGTCCACAGTACATTCAGCAAGTTGTCACAGGCAGTGAGATGATAGCAGCTTCCATGAAAGCATGCAGATGTAGAGCCAGTATCTCACAGACTCAGATCTGGTATACCCAGGACACTGTCCCATTGCCTCTTGTCCTAGCTAACTTCCCCGCCCACTGGATAGACCCTTAACACAATATGCCTGCTCCTCTTGGTGGGTGCCAATAAAAAGAGCCAAAGAGTCCTCGTGCAACAGGGTCTAGCTTGAGGCCTAAACCTCAGTTAAGGTCCTATGTTGGGAAGGTGTCAGCCTGACTGGCCTGTGCAATTCCAGGATTAGCAATATGAGGCCTGTGTGTCCAGGCTTCTTCCAGAGATAGCTGAACTTTCACATCACTTTCAGTATCTCTCCCCACACTTCAAGGCAGGCTCTAGCCTCAGGGGGAAGCATAAAAACCAGCCTGAACTGGAGGCCACTCCTGTGTGGTACAGTGAGGGGTCTCTGGTACCTAGGCTTATACCCACCATCCCTTCCAATCACTAAAGATGCTAGGCCAAAATATGCAGAATCCAGAATCAAAGGGGTGGTGATAGGCTGTCCAGCAGTCAAGTGCTGCCATTCTATCAGCAGGGCTGATGGCCTGGACAGAATCGGCCCCACAGTTACCTAGTAAGAGGAATCTAGGATTTCGGCATAGTGGCAGACATATGTAATCCCAGATACTCAGGAAGCTGAGGCAGTAGAGCCACAAGCTTCAGGGTAGCCTGGAAAATTCAACAAGACTTTTGAAATTTAAAAAATAAGCTGGGCATGGTGGTGCACACCTGTACTCTAAGCATTCTGGGAGACTAAGGGAAGTTCAAACCTATCTGCACAATTTAGCAAGAACCTGTCTCAAATGGCTGGGCATGGTGGCACAGGCCTGTAATCCCAGGCTGAGGCAGGAGATCACCTCAACTTCAAGGCCAGCCTGGACTACATCGTGAGACCATCTTTAAAAATAAAAATAAAAATTTTTTTAATAAAAAAGCCAGGGATATTTCAATCCCCAATACTGCAATAAATAAAAAATTTTTAAAAGGACTGAGGATGTAGCAAAACAATAAATACACCTGGATTCAATTCCCCCCACCCCAAAAAGAACTTAGGAGAAACCCACAAGCCCTGGTCAGTGGAGCAGTACCCGGCTGGCCTGTCCATTGCCTGGTACCCTACTCTTGGCTCCCAAGCCCAGCAGCGCTCCTCCCAATGTTGTGTTCGTGCAGTCATTCTCATTCAAACCCAATCCCCCTGATTCTATCTACTTCACTCCTCAGGACCCATATTCCAACCACACATCTGCGGAGCACCTCCCCTCAGGCTCCCTTCCCTGCTTTCTCCTGCACCTTGCCTCCAAAATCACGAGTTTCCCTGAACAGTGGGTTATGACCAGCTTCACATACAAACAACTTAGGTTATATTGGAATTTTAGGGTGGTTGTTTTGTTTATTGTACAGAGGATTGAACTCAGGACCTTGCGCTTGCAAGGGAGATGGTGGAACCACTGAGCTAAATCCCTGGCCCTGGAATTTTACTTTTAATTTATGACCAAAGTCCTGAGTTATGAATCAAATGCTGGTCTTTCCTGTGTGGAGTTGAGAAATCTTGGGCCAATGTCTAAGGACACTGAGATCTACCTGGAAGAAAATGTGGCCTAAAATTATACAGGAGAGGGACTTTGAAGACTGTGTAGAGGAGCCTGAAACTTCAATTGACCCTGTGATTGATAACACTATCACTATAGCAGAGTCCATAGGCTCGAAGGTAGAAAGTGATATTGAGGAACTGGTGGAGAAACACTCAGAGGAATTCTCTACAGAGGAATGTCAGCAACTTCTGGTTGAACAGCAGAGAATGGCAGCTGAGCTTTCTGAAGGCGGGGTATCAACAATCAGTGCAGCAAAGTCCTTTTGAAATAAAGTAAATCCTGATCAAATAGGCAGAGCTACTAAAATTTGTAAAGACAGAGGAAAAAAACAATCACTGTATTCACTTGCTTAATGACGCCACGGCTACTATAGCCATAGAACAGTGTTAAAAGACAAAAACAGCCACATCAACTTAACTTGATTCAACAGATGATGCTTAATAACCAAGATTCATACTACTGTATTACAGGTTTGTTTTCCTAGCAATAAATTTTCAGTTCTTTATGATTCCACTAAAAAAAAAGACGGTAACAGACAACCTTAGACCAGTTTTTAGTTCTGAAAAGACTGAGACCTAATGAGCCAGAAGTAGGTCCTAGTGGGTTACAGGCTCTACCAAGGAGCGAAAGGACACCAGAGAGTGAGATTCCTGATGTTCTTATAGAAGGGGACTGTCCTTCCAAACAACTACCTCCATTTCGTCTTTCCTTCCTGCAAGCCAAAGATGTCAACTTGAAAAGTGAGTACAGTATGAAATCATTTCTCATAAACTAGACACACTATAACTCTTTGGTGGATACAATAGGAAAATTATTTGTGTTTCTGGTAAAATACACGTTAAATGTTTCTATTATGAAAAGGTTAAGGGGTGTTTTGGGAAGTTGAGAATATGTTATAGGTATTTTTGTTATTTCTTATGGAAAAAATAGTCTTTTTTTTAAAACCAACTTGAATTATAATCAGCCCTCTCGAACAAATTGAGTAAAGGGCCCACTGCATCAGCTCCTACAGCTTCACACAGCTCAGTCCCTGGCTCCAATTTGGCCATCCCTTCCTCCCTGGTCAGGACTCCATGACCCCATTCGTCCTTATGGATAGTGAAACTCCAGGTTAGAGACCACACAGGCCCAGTTCTGGCTAATCCAGCACCACTAACTGAGGAACCAATGCCCCACTCTTAGGCCCTAGTAGGTGAACTAGAAGGTGGACTCATGAGCTAGGACAGCCAACAGGAGCCACTCAAGTCTGCACTGAAACCGTGCTGTGGTTATCAACTGTCCTATGGAAATGGCCTGTTTGAAAATATTCAGCACAGGCTAGTCATGGCGGCTCACGCCCGTAATCCTAGCACTCCAGAGGCTGGAGGATCGCCATGAATTTGAGGCCGGCCTAGGCTACATAGTTCAAGGTCAGCCTGAACTACATAGCAAGACCCTATCTCAAAAAGGAAAGAATCAACACAGAGCAGGTAGCTGAGGCAGGGACAGACACTGGAAGTGCTATCTGCATACCCATCCTTGCCCATGCTCTCCAACGTGCAGCTCCCCTGGGCTGAGGAAAGGATGCTAGGATGTGCGGCTGGGACAACCATCAGGCTGAAGGGGGCTCTGTGCTGGTCGGAGAGGTGCCCCCATCCCCACTACCGGTTTCCTTGGTGACAGCGCTGTGCATCCAGAAGAGTCCACCCGGAGACTTGTGGAGCCCAGACAGGACATAGACCCAGGAGGCCATAGGTACTCCGCTAACAGCTGCCCAGAGCTCCCTTTCTCGCGGAGCTGTGATTGATGAGGATCCGCTTCACGGCTCAGCAGCTGAGGCCTGGCGCACTTCTGCTATGTCTGGGCCCAAGCCTTGGGCGCCTCATCCCCCGTGTTTACTCCGGGCTGTAAACCTCGCCGTGCTCACCACCTCTGGTACAAGTTTACTTGTTTTAAGAAAGGTCTAGCTGTGTCTCCCCGAACTCCTGGCCTCAGTGATCCCCCTTCCTCGCCCCTCGAACAATAGTTTTTTGTGTACCTCAATTGGAACCTCCACAAAAGTGAGTCTGGAGTTTGCAAGGAGAAACTAGGGTACACGACCCTGCACCCTCTAGTCAATGCCTCCTGCCTCGCCCGGGTTCTGTCTTTGTCACTCCAGGGTGCAACGACCTTAAGTGACCTTCCAGCACCGAGATGCTGCGCAACACTAAATGGTCAGACCGAGAGCTAGAGGCCATCATCTGCCCCGTTCAAAGATGGCAGCAAGCACGGCTTCCTGCCCGGCAGGAGAGGATCCCCGGAAGTGGCTGCAGGACAGCTGTAACGTCATCTCGACGAACCGAAATACTGGAAGCCTGACGAAAAAGAAGCCGGAACCCCAAACCGGTCTCTTAGCTGCGAGGGGCTGCGCAAGCGCACAACACAGGCCCGGCAAGAAGAGCCGAAGCGGGTAGGCGACGGAAATATCCGAAGCGGCTGGTCGCCCGAGACCGTTGCCGACCTCCGCGCCGAGCCGCAGAACCCCATCCTCCTCCAGTACGCTGCCGCCACTGCGGCTGCCGCCTACCCTTTTTCCAACCTGAGCCGCAGCCCCCTCTCGGAGGGAGCAGTGCAGCCTCAAGACTTAGCAAGCCCCGCGCCCGAAGCTGCAGCCGGGCCTCGCAAAACCTGAGCCGGAAAGGGGAGGAAGGACAGGCCGGGTGGTGGGGTGGGGCCAGTCGGCCCGACAACTGCCGAGTCTGTCCGAGTACTGCCGAGGGA